CATGAAGATGAAATCCAACTAAATCTAACAACTAAAAACTGGGTCCAAATAAACTCAGGAACAAAGAAGCCTCGGTCTCAAAGTGAGTACTGAACTTACTGCAGTATGAAACAATGTAAACAGATGTGTATACAGAAGACAATACAAATCACATACATCTCAACATAAAGGTAGAGGAGCTTCTGCTCCTCGCATCATCCTAGCACCCTCCATCAGCACCACTACCAGAGAACAATGGTTATACTTTTCCTCATGCCTAACTATGAGCTGGGCATGGTGCTCAAAACTACATGCAGCGTCTCGTTTAGTCCTTACAACCCCAAGACAGGTGACTTGTCATTTTCCAGTTTACAGGTAAGGACATAGGCAGAGAGGGTATCTTGCCCATGGTCTCCCAGTTGATTGGTCAGAGCCTGAGATGTTGGGATATTATTAAGTTTAGCAGGATTACTGTGTTTATTGAGAACCCTTTAATACAATACCCTAAAATTTTACCACTCCATGTCTTATCAGTAAACTGTGTTTTAGAGTCCCTTTGGGGACCTCTACCCCTATCATGAACAGCAACTGTTATGGTGTCCCAACATATGTTGATAGTCTCAAGGACTTTAGGATAGGCATGGGGAGGGCGAAAGCGGTACAAGGTCCTCTAGTTTGACTTTGGACCCTACAGTAATTCTCAAACCTTCATGTGCATGCAATTTACTTGGGTGTGTGTGTGTGGGGGGAACCTTGTTACATTGCAGCTTCAGATTCATTAGGTCCTGGGTGGGACTTGGGACGACTTCTAACAAGTTTCCAGGTGAGGCCTATGGGCTACAGTCTTGAGTAGCAAAACCCTAAACCACAAACCTCAAAGCAGCCTCCCTCTAGAGCTGAATGGGTTGATACAAGTATAGCTCCTGTAGCTATTAAAAAAGAGGTACTTTGACTCATATACTGTTTATGTGTAACTGCCTTCGGAAACCTGGTAGGGGTGAGGTTTGAGACACAGATTGGCACACATTTCCAACATTTATGAGTTCCTGACTGTAACAGCAGTAACAGCAAAAATATGCCTATCACCTTTAACAAGTGAAAATCATAACAGAGCTCTTGAGGTGAGAAGAGATGAAGTGCCTAATTTCTCTGGCTTTCCAGGTAAGGAATCAATGGGCACTGTTTTAAGTAATAAATGGAGGTAAATACATACTATTTAAAATTTTAATAGCAGCATTAGAAGACTGACATAAAACAAGTAACTACATGTGCAACGTGGGTCAACAGAGAGGGCCGTACTGGGACATACATAGCCAGATGAGCTCACCTAGTCTAAGGGGCCAACAACCCAAACTGTTAGAAACCCCTTGCCATTTAGAAACAGTACCTCAAACTAAGCTGAACCTTTTAAAATTTCCAGTGTTTAGCAGTTTTTGACTTAGAAAAACAGCTTCAACCTAATTCCCTATTACAGCATTCAATTACGATATTTCACAAAGGCCGAGCCTACCTTTTCCTGCTCACCATTGTACTACTATTGTAGTGGGAAAGGCACTTCCTGGGACATACTAGATTTTCAACAAATGAATATGTGCTGAAAAAGTAACAAAAGACCCAAGACTCGAGAAGGTAAAATGTACAACGACAGAATTTTTTTTAAGTCCTATAATAAAGACATGTCTGCTATTCTAGCACGTGGACTAGGAACTTGGCTCCCAGCATTATTAGTATATGTCACTAAATATTCTGGTAGTTCTGTAACTTCGTAACTGGATTTAACCTATGTATCTTGCTCCGTGGCATAAATATTCTTCCATGTTTAAACAAAATCTTACACATATCTCGAACATTTAATGACTAGTAACATAGGCTTAAAACCTTAGTGGTTTTCTGCTAACTCCTGCCACATGATTGTCCTTTATTGGTCTAAATTATTTTCTCTCTTGTTCCCGTATGTACATTGAGTAAATATCCAGAGCATTTTCCCCAAGAAATCTCCCTTCCACAAATTCCCAGGTGACTCTTTTCAAAATAACATATTCAGTTAACGCCAGAAAATGGGTGGGTAGCAAGTTTCATAGATTCTTTGAAAATGCCTATTAACCAGGAGTGTACATCAGAATCAACTGTTGAGTTTGCCCTACTGATCTGTTTACTGGACCACTGTTTATAATAGGAAACAGTGAAAACGTAAATAAACATTATAGGGGGCTAATTAAATTACGGTATACAATACAACCATTAAAAATCAAAATAAAGGTAGCATATAGTATGCTTTATACAAGCAGGCATGATTCTCTAAGGGCTTTATATACGTTAACCATTTTAATCCTCATAACCAATCTATGAGGTAGGTACTATTGCTAGTCCCATTTTACACACGGGAAAGCCAGGGCAGTAACTCCTTAGGTCAAACAATTTAAGAGTGGAGCTGGGATTCAACGCAGACAGTCAGGTAGAACTCATGCCCTAAATCTCTATGGTAGACTCCACATCTACAGTAGAGGGGCATATATACACTGATGGCACAAAAGGCCCTGACCGGTTCAGCGAAAAAGCTAGTTTCTCAAATCTGTGACTATTACAACCCTGTTTTGTTCTTTACGCATGTATTAAAAATGTCTGGAAGGACACGTAGCAAAGTGGTAACTGTGAACTGGTTGGATATTTGCAAGTGGGAATTTTTCAATTTCTTTATGAGCGTGTACTTACGAATATCATCTATGGCAAACAAACATTAAAAAAAGGCACACATACCTAGCGCTATCATATTAGCGAGTAGGTTAAGGTAGGGCCAGGCATGTTACTTTAAAAAGGGTTTTAAGGGACTCTAAGTCAACATTGTTTTTAAAAAAGTAAAATTTACTTACCTCTAATTTAGTCTTGATTATAGTAAGACTTCATTTATTTCAACACACTTGTCCAACTTCAAACTTGTTTATTTCAACCATTTCACAGGAGACATTTAAAAACATACCACACAGCTATAGTTTTATGTCATATTAAACTCAGCTTGAGTTATCTGACGACTCTGGGCCTTCAGTATGATACTACCCACACCAGACGTGTAGGTCGCCATTCCTTGTCCTGAGGTATTCTGTTCCTCAGGTACCCGAGTTGGAAAATCAGATAATTCACCTGGTCAAGTAGTGTATATAAATTAAGTCAGTAAAAGCTTATGTGGAGAAGGACCTGACAATATGCAGAGTTTTCAAAATCCCCTAAATTTGAATGTGTGCAATTCTGGAAGCTGATGTTTTCAAATGTCTGATCTCAGTCACTGAGTTCAGTGTGACCGGATTTTTAATGTAAGAAGAGTTGACTACTTGAGGTATCCATGCAGTGTTTAAATCCCTCCACAGCAGTCCAGGAGCCCTCCGACCTATGATTTTGGTATTTCTGGTAGTGCAGTAACTCTTAAAGCAGCCCATTCTGACACTCAATTGTATAACTTATTAAGATGGCTTGTTTTTTAATAGAATTGTGGTATATTTTTCTGTGTAGATTATACCCCACTGGTCCTAGTTCTTGAAGTGTGAATTGTTTGCACAGCTGATCATACAAACCCAACAACCAAGAAACGTTAATAATTGTCTTCTTACTTTACTAAACACTTTGTGTTTAATATATTTTAAATTATAAAGAAATTACAAGGAACTCCTAAAAAAATTTAATACAAAAATATTACAAGTTAGGACAAGTAAGCATTGAGATATATGACATTTGAAGAGAAGAAACATGCAGAAAAAGTAGCATAGGGTTAACATTTCATTGTTGACAGAGCTTTGGTACAGCAGAGAAAAGCACCGTAAAACTACTGTCCATAGTGTCTTTTCCTCCACTGCATTTGCAAGCGTATATACTAGGGAAACAGTAAACTTTAATTTGACCTGCTATGTATTATAATAGGTAAGAAATCTGATCTACTGTAAAGTGTAAGAACTAGGAAATTTCAAATAACCCCTTCTGCACTTGTTTTACCTCAAACTTACACAGATTATAATCCTTAGTTGTCCAACATTTTTGGAAAAAGTGTAAAATGCAGAATAGTATTAACAATCTATGCCATGCAATAAAAGTTAACCCTTTGAAAATGAAAGGCTGTCAGAAAGTTCTAGTAACTGCAGTAGCTTATCATTTAATAAAACATGACAAGGCTATATGCCCATAAATAGTTTATACTTAAGGTAATGGAAGGGAAATGTAGAAGACCTGGAGAATACAAGTTTTTTAAAAAACAAAAGAAAATTAAAAAATATGCTCAATGATTCTTTAGAAAAGTCTCTAGGTAACTCTAAAGGAGTTGGGATTAATTAAAACTGGAAGGTGCCTAGTATCTTTCCTCACAGCTTATAAGGTTTGTTAGCAACATAAGCCACTAGCTAAGGAAAAAAATTATTAAATGATAATAGGTTTCTATGAAGAAGAAAGGGCATTAAGGATGTTGAGCACACCCTGTCCTAAAAACCTTCAACAACATGTACACATTGTTTTGTGCTCAAATGGACTCTAAGCAAATGAATCTGTCTCTGTTGATGTGAAACAATGTCTTCTAAGTACAACACTGATTTTTTAAAATAATTCAAAAGTTAATTGTTATTCCTTAGCTGATTAAATGCTCTATTAGTCTTTAATAAAAATAGTAAGTAATCCCTTCATTTAAAAAATCTTATCTCCTACGAGAAGTAATAAAATAGTAAAATTTGTAATTTTATCTATGGGCTTACTTTAAAGTGTCTATCTTGTAAAACAATATATTTATGAAATACAGTGGTTTGGGTTCTGATGGCAGTTGTTACAACTGGTAACCAGTATGGGAGAATAGACATGCTATATGTTATGAAGGCTAAGTCAGAGCAAAAAAGTTTATTCTACAAAAGAACACTGGAGGAGTAATTGCAATAAAATGTAAACAAGAAATTGTAAACAAGAAATAGCATCCCTCTCCCTTTACTTGACTAGTAAATAGTCTATACAAACTACATAGATATCAAAGGTTTTATATATGTACACAGCCAACATAATATCAAAATATATTTTATTCTGGACCTCTTTCAGATCTGATTCAAATTACAGTTGTCAAAGCAATACAATGCAAAGGGAAACTGCAACAACAACAACAACAAAAAATGTGCCTAGAAAGGAGAAAAGGGTCATTGGGGACAAATCATTGTGATGTGGAACCAAAATACATCATAAGTGTAATTAACATGGTCCAGGACAGCATAGAACATCTATATCAGTCTTCCTTACACAATAATCATGAAAACTGAACAATAAAGTTCTTTAACATGTACAAAAAACTGTCATGGGCTGGTTTACACTTGTACAACAGTTTTAAAGTTAACTGGATAACTAAAGAAATGATGCAGACATTTTAATCCAGTGCTATAAGTAGGCTCACAGAATTAGACCCAAAGGATTTGTAAAAATCAAAATTAGAATATTATAGCTACAATGTCAAAGTCAGGAAAGAAGAAAATTACTTCTGTATTTAGGGATTACAGAGCTACAGAATGCAGTCTGTCTGTTTTTGTTTTTAATGAGATGGAAAAGTACATTAGACTAGATACAACATGCAGAATGTTTTCTTGAACTTATCCAGAAACTCCAAAGAAAACATCATGAAACAGCTTACTAGAAAAAAAAATATGCCCTAGTTATTCACCCTGCTTCAACACTGTCAACGTAAAGGTGGAAATAAAGAATGCTATTAATACTTCAGAACTACTGATATAAGACATCAAATTTCTAAATCAGTGTATTAAAAAAGTGAACACTTTTTCTTTTTTTTTTTGCTCTCTTCTACATTTAGTTAGAATCACGTTTTGTTTTTTTTTTTTTTTAAAAAAAGCTGATATTGAATGTGACACGTCAGAGCTATTACAGGAAGGAGTAGTTCAAAACTTCCCTAACTCCCCTTCCGTCCCTGCTGATTCAGAAGAAAACAAACAAACAAACAAACAAAAAACCAACCAGGGTCTCTTGTAGATTTGCTGCTATTCCCCAAAATGTTGGCATTTGCTGCCATGCCACAATGTTGGTCCACTGAAATAGGATTTCTGTGGAAACTGTCAACAGTAATTCACCAAATGCAAGTACCGTCCTTAGCATGTGAGAATAAATGCGGGTTCTATAGAAATGTACAATGTGCTTAAGAAAATGAAAACTGTTTGAAAAGAGTAAATAGCACTGCATTTGAGATTTATTTTTTCTACTTATCTAGTAAAACAACATTTTTGCTGACATAAGAATGGTCATTTGTGATTCCTTTAAACAGCAAAAATGCATACTCCTCTTCAGGCCTCTACTCAATAATAGTTTACATTACTCTTAACAAAATCATTCTACATAAACAGATAGCTCCTTAAAAATAGTACTCTCTCATTAAATCTAATTTGACAGAAATAAGTTTAAGGAAAAAAGGAGTGCTTTATAAGTTAAGTGAAAAAGTACAAATCTTTGGCCTTTCTCTTGACATTTTTATATGTCAAAAAGCAAAAAACCTTCATGTAATTCAATCTAATGATTACTTTTTGCACCATAATTTGTTTTTTACACCACAAAAGGAGGCACTTTCAGTATCTGTAAAAGGTGTTTAATCCTAAAACATACTTACCTAGAGAATAACTAATTAAAACAGAAGTCAATATACTCTAAGACCTATTAGGAAATTAAAAGTTAACCACTTCTAAAAGTCACTTGAAAGTCAATGATGGTACCTGATCAATGACAGGAAATTGGGAATGGAACAAATATAAGAACTTAGAGGATTTCCTACATGGAGAAGAAAAAAGATATTCCTTTACGATGTTTAAGAGTGACAGCTGCTCTTTCCTTATTCTATTTTAATCAATGAGTATTCTATTCATTCAAGTTTTCCTTTCTATTTTTCCTTATAAGTTTCTTACAGTAGCCTATACAACAATGATATATAATGAATACCACAGAAAATCTACTGGAATCAGTAGATCTTCAGATAAGTTCTTAGAGAGAAAAAAAAAAAACGAAGGAAAAATAAGCAAGAACCTCAAAAATAGAACTTTACAGGCTGTGAAACTTGGTCTCTTATAATCATGTTACTGCTCAAATTAGAGGCAATCTTATTTATGTCTACTGGAGCAGCATCGTGGCACATCAGCAGGCAATGATGATGGTGAGAACAGCAGCAAAAAGAAATAACTGTATGCTCACAAAGAACCCAAGCCTACAAAATGGATACCTTTCTGATAGTTTATACTTAAAAGACCCAAGACTTCAGGATAATAAAGCTCTGTATTTATAATCTTTTATATGTCCTATTGTGGCTATTATGCTTAAGTAAAATAGCTAGAGATAAAAACAACAACAACAACAACAAAAAACCCCCCCCCCAAAAACAGAGAAGATGACAACACCATAAACATGTAGCTGTCTATTTTGGCAGCTATACTGCAGAACTTCATGACTATCTTTTAATCAGCTGGGGAAAAAAAGTCAATAACTGTATGTAAATGAATAAACTGTCCATATCAAAATACAAAAAGTACTATTAATAATCACCTCTGACTTTCAGATTTAAATTCAGTGCAATTGACAAATGCATCGCTAAAGGAAAATGCAGCTTAAACATACTCAAAACATTTGTGTCTATTCCTGGGAGCACATTTAAAAATTATTGCACAGATTTTTAAAATTTTATTTACTTTTTTAAAACAACAACAGAGGTCAACCACAGATGTGGACCTCCAGCAATAAAAGCAGGATTTCAAGTGCCAGATACTCAGCGTATTAGGTTTCCTACGTAAGTCACAGGGTAATAGTTCTAAATATCTATAATGTGATCGAAAACCCTAAAAACAGCTGGCACAAAACCATCATGAATGACTGCCTCTCTGGATGTAAATTTTAAAAAATATTATTACAGTATCATAGTCCCCACTAACAACAACTGGGGTACACATAGCAATGTATTGTGAAATTAAGTGTATTTATTCTCTTTACCAATAGCAAATGCTATCCTACCTTAGTAAAACCAAGACTTGCTTCAATCAATGCTGTTTTGTAAAAACAGCAAAATAACAAATGCTGAAAATCAAAGCTGCATTACTTGCGTTAAATCAGTTTCTACCTAAACTTAAAACATAGGTTAAAATTTTAGCAGTAAAAGCTTCAAAATAATTAGTGACAGTGTTATAAATTTGCCAAGCTTGATAATAAATGATATTCCTTAATTAAAATCTTTGAGACATAAATTTGACAACTATTCTCTTCAAAATCGACACTTCTGGATTATTACATTAATCATGACAAACCCTGTTAATCACACATATAAACATAGCCCCATGCTATCATTTGTAGATTCTGTATATTTTAGCTTTTAGTTGCATGAGCACAGGAGGTTTTTGATCTGATACCTATACCTTTAAGAAAATACGTGATATTATAAACAGAGTAAAAGACATGATATAGTAGTGATTACTGAAAAAACGAAACATAGCAGCTTAAATCTATCTATTATTTGAAAAAATGTAGTCACAAGTACCACAAATGCAGAATTAGAGCAGCAGGGAGGTTAGTGCAATTATACCTTTTTAAAAATTTTTGAATCACCGCTATGTGAAGACACCTTGAAGCAAGTCTTTTGTTTTAAAGATTGTTTCTAAACTAAGGTAGCAAACATTTTGCCATGTAATGGCAGTGTTATATGTTGTTATCTTGCTTTGTAAAAAGAAAAATAACATGAGAGATTTTTAATACTGGAGTTTGGTTACATTACATATTTAAGCTTCTACACAGAATGATGGTCACTTTGAGAAGCTAATCCTTATCCAGAAACATTTTAATCTCTTAAAAAACAAAGCAAAAGAAACAAATAAACAAACAACAAAAAAAACTCAAACCTACTTTGCTCCTTTTCACAATAGTGCACATTTTAACCATAATTTAGTTATGGCTACAAGACATCAGAAGATTTTTTTTTATGCATCTTCTCTATGGTATTAAAAAATTTTTTGTGCCCTTCTAGTCTTTAATTGGCAGAAATATGTCCCAAAAAAGAAACTATTGCATTTAAGCCACATCACCAAAAAACAAAACAAAAAAACCAGAGGGGGAAAAAAAAAAACCACACAACAAAAAAACAAAGCAAAAGCAAAAACAGAGCATAATACCCTTTTACTGATGTGTCTTACAGATTGACATGACCAAAGTCATATAGTTCCATTTAATTTCCAATTCCCCCTTCTACAACATGCACCAATCGAATATATGCTCTGGGAGCCATAAATGTACCAAACATCTATCTCTTCAAAAGAATGCATTAAAATATTTTTAAGAATTTTTTGTTTAAAAGGTGAAAAAAATATAAACAAGAAACTGATTCACTCCCTTACTTCATGCATCCATAAACTAAACCAAAAACAAAGTTTAAAAGCAAGAACAAACTACTGCTGCAAGTTTTTGTAAGTCCGTTTTCTCTGTACATACAAACTGCTAAACTACTGAAGGGAAAAAAGAATATAATCCATGGTGTCTGCTGATTCAAAGGGGAGAAACAAGGCTGTCATTAGTATCCAAAAACTCGTACATGTATGGGCTGCTTTTATAACGCTTATTTTTTTCTCTCTTCTGTTTTTCATATCCAAAACTTCTAAATGCTATTTTAGGGGCACAGCAGATTAGATTCCAGCACTTGGTGAACAGAATTCACAAGCTGTGACAAAATTCTGTCATCTTCAGGGTGCAATTTTGTTTATATACACTGTATGTATATATTTCTCTTAGATTTGGCTGTAGTGGACTGGCCATGGTTCAAGTGGGACTATAGCAGTACTTGGGTCGGGGACAGTCATTTTGGCTATATACACATTCATAGTCGGTCCATGGCTTCCAACTAGTAGCGCTATTTCCGTAGGTCTAATACACAAACCTGTAAGAAATTAAAATAATCAACCAGTGTGTAAAGAATTTCATTGTACATTTTTATACAGTTTGGAATCTATTTCTTAGTTTCAAGTTCACGAAACTGGTAAAACAAAAGTAATCATAGCAATGGGCACCAACAGAAATCAGATAAATTGTCTGAAAGCAGACGGAGTTAACAACCATGGGTTAATACTACAGAGGAAGAACCATGGCTAACATGCTGAAGATTTACTCTCTGTTAATTAAAAAGTAGAAAAAATATACTCAAAATAGACCATTTTCTATCTCTTGGATCTTAATGAAAGATACTACAGATTACATTAAGCTATTGCTTCAGCAAACAGCTAATAGCTATCCCCTTTCCATCTTCCCTTGGCTTTCAGAACTTTAGAAGCCATAACTAGTATTTCTGTGAATGCATGGCCAACCTCATCCTGAAAGTCTCTTGGTATCACACATTCCTCAATGCAGACCCAACTGCCTCTATTTCCCCTTCCCTGGGCCACCAACACTCTTCTGCAAGGAAGAGAAGGCAAAAATAGGCATTAAAAATTCAAGTCTCTCTCACAGTGCTACACTTAATTTCAGTGATGAAGTTTTACACTAAAAGTAACTGTCCATTTCTTGATTATGAAGGCACTCTTCTGGCAAAGACAGCCTAAATTCTGTTTACATTATCTGAATGAAATAAACATAAAAAGTATAGAGCCTTCGGTAAAAAAGGTCAATACCCATATCATAAAATTTTTTTTTAAAAAGAACACTTTTGTAGTCACAACAAGCCACATTTATTCACTATGCTTTCTCTCTTTCTTACACACACACAGACACAGACACACACACACACACACACACACACACACACACACACACACACCCTTTGGAAACACTTCATTATATACTTACTGAACCATCTGATGCACTGGCTCCAACCTTGTCTCCTGCTGCATTCCAACAAACTTCAAAAATTCCACCTGTTCCCCTATAGCTGTGAACTAGAGCACCTGTCTAAAATAATGAGAAGCGGAATCTTAAAAATAATATATTATTATATATGTTCAAATACTGAGGTAAAAATATTATATGGCTTTATTTCTAGCAATCCAATGTAGGATTTAGCTTCAACTTCAAAATAAACAAGTTCTGAAATACCAGAAATGTAAAATGATGATCCTTTTACAAACAGACAGCACTAGCCTGCTCTCAACAGACCACACACACACACACACACACACACCACTTCTCCAGTATTGATAACCATTCTTAGCTAAGGTATCTTTGGTCTCTTTGACCCTAGAAGTGCCCCTAAGCTAGGAGAATTATAAAAGAAGTTAAAAGAGCATATGTACATTATTATTGAAAGATGTTTTTAAGTTAAAAGAAAACAAAGTACAACCAGGAACACTACCAATTTCATCATCATTTAGCCGACTCATAAATATAACTCAATTATTTTATTCCTTCGGCAATGGAAACCAAAATCATTCAGCTGCCATTCAATAATTGAAACTTAGTACAAAAATGTATTCTCCTAGGAAACCAGTTATTAAACAGGGAAAAGGTCAGAGGTTCTGCTGTGAGAAATGAAAAATAATGAAAAATATGCTTCCGGTGTTCTGTCCTGACAAACCGGAAAAGTATCTCTCAGCTTCAGGGTGAACTAAAAAAGCTCAAACTGGAAGTAGCAGAACTACCTAAACACAACATGGCACCAAGACATAACCTTTTGAGACAGCCAGCCCTAAGCTAATCACTAAGCTAGAAGATCACAATGGGAAGTCTCAACTGTTCTTTTCCTCCTACCTAAAATTTCTCACAATTTAAGAGATTAATGAAAAAGCACGAGTACAGGAGGCCTTAAGTACCTACAGTTAATTAGAAGAGAATGGAGTGGTGCCAACGAGATCTAAGATAGGCTGTTGTATAGAGAGTCAAATCTACAGGATTGTCAATTTTGGGGTTAAAAACCGACACTGTCTTTCAATAGTACTTACCAATTTCTAAGCTTGAATCAGGCTATAATTGAACCGAAACAGCACGGTCAACAAGCCAGAGCTATCACATTAACAAAAGCCAAAGGATCCTCAGCATCTACTCAAACCTGTGTTCTGACCAGACTGTAACAATTTAACTGTCAAATGCTTAGATAACATATCATCCAAGTAATGAAAGAAAAAAATAGATGTACATATTGACAAAAAGACAATTACTTTCTCCTGCACTGAAAACTCACAAGATGCATTTTGCTATTTTCAAACTTAAAAGAAAAAAAGTAAAATGACATTTTGATACACAATAGTGATACAACAAAACAGTATGGTTACTCAAATGCCCTTAGAAGTCTAGCAGTATCTTCCCTTAGAACTCTACGGTTCTATACCCAAATTTTATTTTAAATTAATTTACTCAAAATGGAGTGAATGAGTGATGGAAAATGTATACAACCGGCAGATTATCTATAAAGCCTCTGCTATTCAATCGAAACAGAAAGATTGGGAATTCCCTGATGGCCCAGTGGTTAGGACTCCGTGCTTCCACTGCAGGGGGCATGGGTTCAATCCCTGGTCGGGGAACTAAGATCCTGCAAGCCGGGAAGTAATTAGAAGTAATGAGAGGGCTCAGTAGGTTTGATGGAGTCAACATCAACATGCCAAAATTCATAATGTTCCAAACATGAGCACCACCAGTAAGTAAAAGGAATATTATTTTTTAAAACATGCTATACACAGTAACAATAAAATCCATAAGGCATCTCAGAATACATTTTGTAAAAAAGAAGATCTTTATGAAGAAATTATAAAACTTTACTGAAGGAAAAATAAAAAGACTTAATGAGGGGGAATAACAAAGTTACAGTCATTAAAATTAAACTAACAACGCAGGTATATACAAATGTATCAATCAATGGAATACAAGAGAATCTATGAACAAAACATACAAGAACGTAGTATATGGAAGAAGTGACATTCTGAAACAGTGAAGGGACAGTAAATAGTGCCAAGAAAACTGGTGATCCATAAAGACAGAATTAGAACTATGCCTCACACCATATATAAAAACCAATTCTAAGGGAGTATAATATAAATGAAAAAATAAAACAGTGGAAGTATAAAATGAAAGAATCATAATGCTTTTATTTACAAAAAACCTCAAGAAGAATGAAAGAGAAACTGATAAAAAAAAGTTATCTGTAGAGGACCAAGAAAAAAATGGGAGCAAAACTTCTCAGTGTATACCTTTTTATAATGGGGGGAGGGTGCTGGAGACCATTTGAATGTATAACTTAAATCAAAAATAATATGGGAAAATGATGATTTATGCAAAATAGGCTGACCAACTATGGTGATCAGCAACACAAAGAGAAATAACCCACAATAACTTACTGTGCATATAATACAAGCAGTAAAGATCTGATTTTTGAACAGGGGGTGGGGCAGGGAGAGTCACATGACTGATATTAAAGAAAAAGTATTTAGCATGTAAAAACTAAAACACTGAAAAGATTAAAATAATGAGAGCAACAAAACTGTTTTCTCCATTTTTAAGAAAGGATCTCTGTAGCACTGTCCCTAAAAAGGTGGTACATAGTTTTAAGTTCGTTTCTGATAAATTATGTGCTCAATTGTAAAACCTTGTCCTTTAACACATTTTTTAAACTGCTCATATATACCTTCTCTGAAGACAATTCTTTTAGAACATAAAGAAATGGTATCATTTATCTAAATAAATGCATCTTAAACTCTCACATATCATGCCTGCAAAACTGCTGGAAAAAATAAAACACAGACTCTAAATTTTGGTCCATATTATGAAAATCTCACTTCAGCTGGTTTCGATCTTTACTTAGCTGTAAATTCCCCCCAAAAACTGCTCATATAAAAACGAACTGAATTAATGACACAAAAGGAATGACAACCAAAACTAAAAAAAAAAAATTTTGTTTAGACAAATGCTTCTTATATTCTTATATAAGAACACTTGACTATTTAAATAACTTGGACATACCTGTGTGTTCCAGATGTGCACACATTTGTCAAAAGAACCACTCGCCAGATACCTGCCATCAGGACTGAAAGCTACACTGTATACAGGCTCTTGGTGTTTTGTCAGAGTATGGATGCAAATTCCTCGGTCTACATCCCATAATCTAACAGTAGAATCAAAGGATGCACTGACAAGGGAGAAAAAAAAAGATTTTATAAGTAATGAAATACTCTCAGCCCCACCCCCAATCTATAATATTCAGACATTCCTAATAGCTAGCCCTGAATTCCTCATGAGAAGCAGACTGTGCTGTTAGGAAGAAAGTGTTCTGGAAACAAAGCTAATCGGAGACACGGCAGCTTCATTAAGGGCATCTCCAAGTCTGTAAACTGGAAAATATAAATGAGCTAATTCACTGTATTCCTTTACTCTTTAAATAACTCCTTTATATTGACCCACGGTTTTGAAATGCTACATTAAATATATTTTTAACTTATTTTTTTTAAATGCTGAAAAAACTTTATTGCATTATGCCTCAATTACTTGGGTTTTAATCAATATTTGATATTATCAGTAAATTATTTGCTATCTCCAGATACAAACATCCATTATGACCTGAAATAATAATAAAACTCTGTGTCTAAAGGTTCCCATTAAAAAAATATATTCCTTGTAGGATACATTCCCATTTCATGGAATTTTTCCTAATTTTCTGTCATATTTATAAGAGGTTTTCTTTGTAAAAGACTCATAAAGGAAAAGCAAAACAGAAATGTTACCTTGCTAACATGAGGTTGGCATTTGGATTATTTGTCCCTGGCCCTGTTGGACTCCACTTGATAGTATAAATCTCTTTATTATGTGCTTGCAAATCATGGACACAGTTGTCTTGCTTCATACTCCATATCTAAGCAGAAAGGAAAAAGGTATGTAATTATTCTTCCATACAAAGGGTACTTTTATAATATTATCTTGCCAATCCAAAATATAGTACACCAGAACAATATAGAGATCAAGAGAATACATACAAATAAATCAAAATGTAGAATATATTTAATATTTATCTTTTAGAAATGACAAATTAGCTTCAAGTCCTTTCTAAATATTCACTGTTGTGAGGCTTCAGGATTCAATTAACTGTAGTTCTAAGATTACTTTTGACAGCTTCAGATGGTACAAACTTCAACATTCAGTAAGTTCCTCAGTTAATGATCCTACAATGTTTACGGCATTAGTTTTTATGCTGTCCTTTAAAATAAACGGTCTACATTATAAATTCCTCTTAGAATTTAGAATCAGGAACTATTTTGCAATCAGGAAGAGAAAATAGATAAGCAACATACAGATAAATATAATATGATTCACGTTGACACCAAAGCATAGGCAATGAAAGCAAAAAAAAAAAAAGCAAGCGGTACTACATACAATTTAAAAGTTTCTGCACAGCAAAGGAAACAATCAATAAAGTAAAAAGGCAAACTATGGAATGAGAAAAAATACTGCAAACCATATATCCAATAAGGAGTTAATTTCCAAAATATGTAAAGAAACCCTACAAGTCAACAGCAAAAAAAACTCAATTACCCAATTTAGAAATGGACAAAGGACTTGAATAGACATTTCTCCAGAGAAGATACACAAATGGCCAATAGGTGGTGTATGAAGAGATGCCCAATGTCACTGATCATCAGTGAAATGAAAATCAAAACTATGAGATACCACTTCCCAACTGTTAGGATAGCTATTAAAATTTTTAAAAATGTTGTCAAGGTTGTGGAGAAATTGGAAACCTTGTAAACTACTGATAAATGATTGCAAAATGGTGTAGCCACTATGAATAATAGTATGGAGGTGCTCCCCCAAATTTTTACAACTACCATTATATATGATCAGCAATTCCACTCTGGGTATTTACCAAAAAAAAAATAATCGAAATCAGGATCTTGAGGAGGCATCTGTATGCCCTTGTTCACTGCAGCATTATTCATAAAAGCCAAGATATGGAAACATCCTAAGTGCCCATCAATGGATGAATGGATGAAGAAAATGCATATATATACAATGGAGCATTATTCAGCCTTAACATATGGGGAAATCCTGCAATATGTGACAAACATGGATAAATTGTAAGGACGAATATTGTATGATTCCGTTTACATGATGTATCTAAGAGTCCAACTCATAAAAGCAAAGAAAAGAATGGTGGGGATAAACAGCAAGGTCCTATAGTATAGCACAGGAAACTGTATTCAGTATCCTATAATAAACCATAAAGGACAGAAACTAACACACCATTCATTGTAAAGCAATTATACTCCAATAAAGATGTTACAAAAATAAAAAATAAATTATTCGTGTAAAAAAGAAAAAAAAACATAATGGAAAAGAAAAAAAAAGAATGGTGGTTGCCAGAGGTGGTGGGGTCACAGGGAGGGGCTGCTAATCAACAAGCATAAAATCTCAGCTCTAGAGATCTGCCTCACTGCATTGTGCTTACAGACAATAACACTTGTTTTGTGCACTTAAAAATCTGTTAAGAGTAGATCTCATGTCAAGTATTCTTCCCATATAAAATTCAGAAATTGTAAATGATTCACATACAAGAAACCGTGAAAAGTAACAAAGCAGTAAAGTTAAAATGGTGTGTAGAGAATACGCCTTTCTAGAGTTGAAAACATGCCTATGTATACAGGTTAAAAAATAATTCATATTATTTTTGAGCAAAAATTAAGAGAAACCTACACCAACAGTATTTCTAACAAAATCATTCAGTAAAGACATGGGGGGAAACCCTTGCCAAATACAAACACACATACACCAAACCCAAGTACCAACAAAGAAACAAAAATTAGCTGTGCTTCACATTTCTGCAATGAAACTAATGAGATAATGAAGCAATAACATCATGTTTTTGTATCCTAGGTATACATAACTCCATGTAAATAAATCCAAAAGGTATGTTTCCAAAACATTGATATTTCATGTGAGCTTTCGATAGCACTGATAACACTGACCACTCTCATCCATCACCTCCCTTGAAGTACTCTTCTCTTTACACACTGTTTCCACTGAGGTCATTCCAATTTCCTGTTGGAGTCTCACTCCTCTTGAGCTGCTAAATGCTAGAGTTTCTTAAGACTTTTTTACGCTTTCCTCTTCTTTTACTCTGTACATTTCTACCTACACAATTTTGTCCATGCCCATGGCTTTGAATGACTACCCACCTATTGAGAATTCCCAAATTTTTTATGTCAGGCTTAGAATTGTTCTCTGAGCATCAGACTGACCTGGCACCTCCACTTGCATGACTCAAAGGCACTGTCCAAGCTGGACATAATCTTCTCACTCATCTGCTGTTCCTTGTTCTCAAAATATGGCTTCACTAGACATTATCCATCCTTCTAGCTTCTGCTTTAAAATTCTACGACCTTTTATTATTCTTAGAACTAAAAAAAGCTCTCTAACACTTTCTAATTTAAACTTCTCTCTCTAGCTGCAACTCAGTCCCTGACAGTAGGCTCTCTATAGCCACCGGCCTTCTTTCATTTCCTCGTATGTGCCATACTCTGTTCCAGAAGTTTTTCATTTTATAAGCATAATGCATGTGCACGCAAAGTAATCTCACAAACAAGAGCGTGAAGAAAAGCATTTTTACCAGCAACGTTTACAAAGGAGTCCAGGCTTGAAAAAACTATCTAACTAAAAACACAGCAGGTATTTAAGGAAAAAAACCACCAGGTTACCAAGGTTACATTTAGTCTGTTCATGGGAAGAGGAAAAGCAGTTTTCCTTCATGATTATCCTATCTATAAGGGTCATCACGTCTGCAGGCACTGGCAATGTAAAGTCAAAGATAAATTATTTTCATACAGTTAACATGGTGAAGCATAGGGTGCAAGCTTCATTAATTTTGAAGATTAGTATTATGTTGTTCTTTGTCTCAAACTGCCTTTCTTCTTTAATTTTGGTATGTCATATGCGTAGGTGCAAGGTGTTAGTTTTTGTTTTTAGTTATGCAACAAGAAAAACATAAATTCATATTGAGATGTGAATACTGACATGTCAGCTATACTCACTCACCAATTAAGCTATATATCTACTATATATCAGTTTCCCAGAAAGGGTGATATATACTCACACCATAGCAAAATCCAATTAACACAATTCTCAGAATTTCAGTCAAATCCATGAGTCCTACAAAGATCTTTGCTACCTATGAATCAGATCCTTACATGTGCAAATAACCTTTAATTGTACCAATATATGACTCCCTAATACTGAAGACAATTTATAATAGCACAAACCTCAGTATCATAATTCCCAACTATAAGAGAGTCATTCTAAACAATCTTAAAACAGCCAGAGCAGCCACACTGTGTAACTCCTCAACCCCATTTCTCCCCACTATCTGAATTACCTTTAAAGTCATGTCATCAGAACAGGATGCCAGGAGATTGCCAGTTGGGTCCCATTTGATAGCATTTACTTCATTCTAAAAATAACAGTGAACATTCACATTTTCATTTCATAGACTTGGTTGTTTTTGGGGTATTAAACATGCATACTTCAAAACCACTCTGAAACATTACTTATTCATGATAATCACTTTAAAGGAGGGAAAAAAGGTTTCTCACCGTGTGTCCCTGGAATGTTTTAATAGGTCTGTCTTGTCCTAACTTACAGACATGAATGCACATATCTGTACTACAAGAAGCAAAGGTGTTGTTGCTCTGCCAATCAACATCCAATGCTGGCGCTGAAAAGAAAAACAGGCAAGGTTTGCATTCATTCCACGTGTACTGAAAACTAGGAGCTTTAGTTTTAAACCATGGTTAGACATTAAGCATGCTATTAATAGGAACTTAAAATATTTTACTTTATATTTTTTATGGTATTAATAGAATTTTTAAAATTATGGTACTTAAATATTACAAATATTAATACATTTGTTTGGTTGTCTCCATGTGAGACACAGCCTAATAGAAAGTACACTGGCCTGGTCACCAGGAGATGAGGGGTCCTGAGAGCTTGCCCTGTAAATTACTAGCACTGGACTCTTGGCTCCTCATTTGCAAAATGATAAAGTTAAATGTGATGCTACACTTCCTCTTGTTTCTGAAATTCTGTGAGTGTTCAATGGATAAGAAGCCTTGTTTTGCTACTCCCTAACTAGTGGGCCCTAAGCAAGTCACCTCTCATGCTATTTTTCTCTTCTAAAACATATGGGGGGACTTCCCTGGTGGCACAGTGGTTAAGAATCCGCCTGCCAATGTAGGGGGCAGGGGATCGATCCCGTCCGGGGAGATCCCACATCCGTGGAACAACTAAGCCCTTGCGCCACAACTACTGAGCCTGAGCTCTAGAGCCCGTGAGCCACAACTACTGAGCCCATGCGCCTAGAGCCTGTGCTCCGCAACGAGAAGCCACCGCAATGAGAAGCCCGCGCACCACGTCAAAGAGTAGCCCCCGCTCGCCACAACTAGAAAAAAAAAAGCCCGTGTGCAGCAACAAAGACCCAACACAGCCATAAATAATAAATAAATAAATTTATAAAAATTTTTTAAAAAAATTTAAAAATGGGGATAAAACCTTTAAGCTTAGTACCCAAGGATATTGTGAAAATCAAGTTAGATCATGTGTATGGAAAATACTTTGTAAATTACAAGTTAGACAAACGTTACACTGAATAAGTATCATTTCCACTGCCTACTCAACTGATAAATGGAATATTGCATGATTTGCAAATACATTTTTCTTCTAAGTGATTCTTGTCAAATACCTCTTAAAATCTACATCATTGAATTTAAAACCTCAGAGGCCCAAAAGCTGGCTGGCATTTAATATTTATTTTAGTTCTGATATGATTAAAGATTCTTTCCTTTCATTTTCCCCTGGTGCAAAGTGCAAAGCCTTTCTATAATTAGCAATGCAGATTAAGGTAATGTAGCAAGTAACTGGGTTAAGCAATAGAAGCATATCAAAAAAAAACACTGGATCTAGAGTAGGCAGTAGGTAGTTGGGGGGAAAGGTGAGATTCAAAAACCAAGCACCCTTGGCTCAAGATGAGGAAAACCCTGAGGTGCAACGAACACTCCAGAGCCCTGCCTGGATCAGGTTGAGCCTGGACCTTCTTCACCAGCAACTGCTCCCTTTCTCGGCTCCTTCCCTCTTTCCTATCCTGCTTCTGGGAGAATCCCAACTAAATCAGTCAGTGAACAAAAATACAGGCCCACTGTGATCGGCACTATGTTTGATTTGCTGCTGTTTGTGTGCATCACTACTTCTTAGAGCAATGCAGACGACCATCCTATGCATCTGTCAGCTTATCTTCAGTCCATTCTCACCACGCTTTGCCCTGCTATGCGCTGCACGCAGGGGGCTGACTCTTGCAAATTACATATCCCAGGCCGCTGTGCCTGCAGGTTCCATATGGGCTCATTCAGTGGAAGACACTGTCAAGAGTCCAAGGTCAGGAGAAAGAAGGTAGACAGGCAATTTCTGTGGTCCTCCCTCTTTCAGACTGGGCCTTTGGCAGTGACTGATTGCTCCACAGTACTTAGTCTTGCCAGGCAGCCTCTCCTTTGAGGTTCCCATCCCCACTGGGTAGTTGGATCCTATCTTCTTCTCTACAGTCTTAGGTTTACTGCAGTTGTTAAACTCTGAGTTACCTCATCCTCCTCTATTTTTCACTCTTCCAGTACTTCCACAACTGTTTCCTTGTATTATGCTCCCTTTCTTGGATTACCTGGTTTAGATTTTGTTTTTTGTGCCTTGGAATTGGATTCAGTGACAACACCTTCATTTTCACAGTAAATATTACTTAACACATTACTGACCAGGAGATTTTTGTAGAAACTAACGCCTGTGGCTGTAATACATCTCTGGTCAAAAATGCATTAAGATATAATTAAAAAAAAAAATTTTAACAAAATGTTCCTTTGGTAAGTACTTTGTTATAGTGTTAAGAAGTTGGGTGGGGGGGAAGGCCTGAAAATCTAACTACGCCTGTGGCTGTAATGCATTTCTGGTCAAAAATACATTAAGGGCTTCCCTTGTGGCGCAGTGGTTGAGAGTCCGCCTGCCGATGTAGGGGACAAGGGTTCGTGCCCTGGTCCGGGAAGATCCCACATGCCGTGGAGCGGCTGGGCCCGTGAGCCACGGCCGCTGACCCTGTGCGTCCGGAGCCTGTGCTCCGCAACGGGAGAGGCCACAACAGTGAGAGGCCCACGTACCGCAAAAAACAAACAAACAAAAGTTTAAAAAAAAAGTATAACAAAATGCTACGAAGAAAGCCAAGTATCTGTCATGCTCCACCAGGGTGTTAATTTGGTAGAGTCATCTGAAAAATGTTAAATAGGAGGCTGAGAAAATTTGAAACAGCATTCAAACAAGTATACCAATAGGTTCAGAACAAAACAAAAACAAACTGTATAACCAGGTAAAGATAAGTGGAGGAAGCTGGGGAATGGTGCCATATGAGTTATATGATTAATACTTCTGTGATATGCCTGGCTCATAAGATACAATGATAACAGATTGGTATAATCTAAGAACCCATACCCTCATTACTTTATATTTATTCCTAAAATTTAAAAATGAGGTATCACCTCACACCAGTTAGAATGGGCATCATCAAAAAATCTACAAACAACAAATGCTGGAGAGGGTGCGGAGAAAAGAGAGCCTTCTTGCACTGTTGGTGGGAATGTAAACTGATACTGCCACTATGGAAAACAGTATGGAGATTCCTTAAAAAACTAAAAATAGAATTACCATATGACCCAGCAATCCCTCTACTGGGCATATACCCGGAGAAAACCATCATTCAAAAAGACACATGCGGGGGCTTCCCTGGTGGCGCAGTGGTTGAGAGTCCGCCTGCCGATGCAGGGGACATGGGTTCATGCCTCGGCCCGGGAAGACCCCACATGCCGTGGAGCGGCTGGGCCCGTGAGCCATGGCCACTGAGCCTGCGCATCCGGAGCCTGTGCTCCACAACAGGAGAGGCCACAACAGTGAGAGGCCTGCGTACCACCAAAAAAAAATAAATTAAAAATAAATAAATAAATAAATAAAAAAAAATGAGTCTAGGTAATACAAGTTCTTTAGGATAAAAACACATCTTTAATATAAAATGTATTTTTATGTAGGTAATATGTGAGAGGTGTGTTTACTATTACTAGTCTCATTTTACACATGATGAAAGAGGCTAAGAAAAGTTAATTTGCCTAGGGTTACAAAATCTTTTAAATTCCTGGAGCTGGAATTCCCTGGCGGTTCAGTGGTTAGGACTCAGAGCTTCCACTGCAAGGGGCACGGTTCGATCCCTGACTGGGGAACAAGGATCCCACAAGCCATGCAGTGCAGCCAAAAAAAAAAAAAAAATTCCTGGAGCTAAGATTCAATTTCTGTGTCCTCCAATTCTGATTTATTTTTTGGTTAACCCATGCATCCTTCACAATTTAGAAAGGTAACAAACCTATGAGGGAAAGGAAAAAAGGCATTTAATATTCATTTGTTTTTTTTAAAAAAAAGCTTCATTGAGATATAATTCATATACCATAAATTTTATCCATTAAAGTGTGCAATTCAATGGTTTTTAGTATATTACATTAATAATTTAAAAATACTGTGGTCATACATAACATAAAACTTGTCATTTAATTAACTGTACAATTCAGTTGTATCAATTACATTCACAATGTTGTACAGTCATCACCACTATTTTCAAAAGTTCTTCATCATCGGGCTTCCCTGGTGGCGCAGTGGTTGGGAGTCCGCCTGCCGATGCAGGGGACACGGGTTCGTGCCCTGGTCCGGGAAGATCCCACATGCCGCAGAGCGGCTGGGCCCGTGAGCCATGGCCGCTGAGCCTGCGCGTCCGGAGCCTGCCCTCCGCAACGGGAGAGGCCACAACAGTGAGAGGCCCACACACCGCAAGAAAAAAAAAAAAAGTTCTTCATCACCCCAAACAGAAACTCTGTAACCATTAAGCAGTAACTCTCCATTTCCCCCTCCTCCCAGCCTCTGTAACCTTGAATCTTTACATTCGTCTCTATGAATTTGCCTATTCTAGACATTTCATACTCTTGAAATATCAAGAATCATACTCTAGAATGATTCTAGATTCTACTCATGTAGAATCATACTCTTTGTCCTTTTATGTCTGGTTTATTTCACTTAGCATAACATGTACAAATTCTCTGGTGTTGTAGCATGTATCAGAACTTCATTCCTTTTTATGGCTGAATAATAATCTATTGTATATAGAGACCCATTCTGTTTTTCCACTCATCTGCTAATGGACAGTGGGTTGTTCCTACCCTTTGGCTACTGTGAAAAATGCTGCTATGAACATTGACAGACATGAATTTGTTCAAGTCCCTGCGTTCAATTCAATTACCTAGGAATAGAATTGCTGGGTCATATGGTAACTCTATTTAACTTTTTGAGGAACTGTCATACTGTTTTCCACAACGACTGTACTATTTTACATACCTACTAGCAAAGTACAAGGATTCTAATTTCTCTGCATCATTGTGAACACTGTTATGTTTCATAGCCATCCTAATGAATATGAAGTGGTTAACTCATCTATAATCATGATTTATGCTTTATGTAAGAGTGTATATGGACAAAAATACAGTACAGGAATTAAAATATGGTAATTTAAAAAGCATGGTAGAGTTTCATTCCTGATCGAGATGGAGTAACAGGGACCAAATTTACCTCCTGCCCAAAACAATCAAAAACATTACAGAATATATGAAATAATAGTTCAGAACTCTGGGCACCAGGCGATAAAGGACTGTGGTTCCTGAGAGAAGGGAAATCAACCAACAATGTGCCTCTATAACTGCTCAAACATATGATCTGGAAAAATGTCCAGATCTTGGCACAGGGAAGAGGAATCTCCCTAGGAAGAGATTAATGAAATTCTTGAGTGGAAGAGATAAAGCTCAAAATGTGGAAAACTGAAGGCAGTTAGAATTCACAATACTAGAAGGAACAGAGCTATGCAGACAGAGAAAGAATTCTAAAGACCTGAAGTGGGCCCTGTTCACACAGTTAGCTGAGTACTAATCAGCACAAGTATCTGAAGATACTAGCTGAGACCTGGGAAAGAACCACTCAAAAGAATTAGAAGAAACAATGCCTGATACTCAAGATTGGGAACAGCGTCTAAATCCACCAGACTAGAAAACCTTTTGATTCATGGAACACTGGTTAGAGTACATCTAGGTTCTTGCCTCATTACCAGGAAATAAATAGCCCTACGCCGAGCACTGTTTCACTGCCATTTAACAAATCTTACAAGCATGACCCAAAAGGATCAAACCATTTCCAAGTAATTTAACTATGTCCCAGAATAAATTCACAAATACTTATAAGAATACAGAAATATCCAGCAACCAATGACATAAAATTCAAAATGCCTCACTACCAATCAAAAGTAACAAGGCATGCAAAGATGCAGGAAAATATGACCAAAATGAAGAGAAAAATCAAATCATAAAAACTGACCTAGACATTAAAGCACTTGCAACTATATATGATTTGTTCAAATAGTTAAGTAGCAACATGGAAGATGTAAAAAAGACTTAAATCTAACTTCTAGAGATTAAAACTGAAACATGTGAGATAAAAAACGTACTGGATGGAATAAACTGTAGATTAGATGCTGCAGAAGAAAAGATGTGTGAACTTGAAAACAGCAGAGATTATGAAAAAAAAAAAGACTGGATAAAAAAATGAACGGCGCATCAGTGTATTACGGGACATCAAGCAGACTAATAAACATAATCAGAATTTCAAGTTAAAAATAAATGTGGGGAGGAGGTAGAATATTTTTTAAAGAATAATGGTCAAAAATTTTTCAAATTAGAAGAAAACTATGAACGAAGAAATCCAAGAAGCTCCAAGGACAAAAAACATAAAGAAAACTAAACCAAGGCACAACATATGCAAATTGCACAAAATCAGTTGTAAGTAGAAAAATCTTAAAAGCAGCCAGAGAAAACAAGACAAGAATAATAAGGATAAAAATGGTAGCAAGTTCAAATTGAAAACAGTGTAAATAAGAAGAGGACAGAGCAACATTTTCTTTAAAGTGCTGAAAGAAAAAAACCCTGTCAACCCCAGAATTCTATACCCAACAAAAGTATCTTTCAGTAATGAAGGTGAAATGAAGACTTCTTAATACCTACAAAAGAATTCATCAACGTAAGATTTACACTATAAGGAATGTTAAAGCAGTTCAAGCAGGAAATAAATGATACTGGATGAAACTACGTATCTGTGCAAAGGAATGAAGAGTTGGAAATGGTAACTACGGGTAAAAAATTTTCTTATTTAACCCCTTTAAAATATCACTTGAAGGTAGATGGTGGTAAGTTAAAGATGTGTACTATAAATCCCAAGGCAACCATTATAATAAAAGATTTACAGTTAATAACCCACCAAAGGAGGAAAAATGTAATCACACATATCCAAATGGAAGCAGAAAAATAGCAAAAGAAGATGAGATAAACAGAAATATGATTAATTTAAATGCAATCATTATCAATAATCACATTAAATGTAAATAGCCTAAATATTGCCATTAAAAGGCAGATGCTGATACTGAATGAACAAGCAATATATGATGCCTACATAAAATATACATCAAATATAACAAAATTAACAGATTAAAAGTAAAAGCATGGAGAAATATATACCATGCTAACACTAACCAAAAGAAAACTGGAAGGGCTACATTAATATGAGACAAAGTAGATTTCAGAGCACAAAAAATAAAATGGAAAAAAAGTCTAGAAAGACTATCAGTGGCTACCTGGGGAAGGGGAAGGGAATGATTTCAAGGGGGTAGGAGGAAACTTCTGAAGCTAACAGATGTACTATCTTGAGTGTGGTGATGGTTTCAGTGGTGTGTGTGTGTATACATGTCAAAATATATCACATTGTGCAATGTAAATATGTATAGATGATTTTACACCAATTATCCATCAATAAAGCCGTTTAAAAAACCAAACAAGCATGACTGGAAAGAATACCATGGGTAAAAAGGTTATTTATCTGTAAGATGACTTCAACACCATCTACCTCATTGGGCTGTAGCCAAGACTAAACGGGATCATGTATATAAAGAGCATCATCTCCAACACAAAGGTGGTACACATTATATAGCAGCTAGTAACAGTGCCACACACACACACACACTTATTTCAATTTTCCATCACTCCTAGGATGTAGGAGAAACTTTAGGCAGAACAGCCAGAGGGCTAAGAGAATTCCATCTGGGTGAGGACTAGAAGCAAAGGTGAAACGGGATTAAAACGGGTAAACAAAAACTGACGTGTAAATGCTTATTAATGTGGTAAGTGTTAATCAAGCTGAAATGTTTAACATAATACTTGCAAAATTATGTTACTCAGATACTACTGAAAAATCATTTTTGTACCTTATTTGGCTTGCTTAATCACACTAAATAGAGAAATACAAAAAAGCAAAATGCCAGAAGCTGTATATTTCAATTTTAATGGTAACACTGTGCCATTGGCTGTTTGTAAAAAGTATGTTACCAAAGATTTGAAAATAACCAGAGTTACTTAAGTCAGCCTCCAATGCAAAACTCTACCCAACCACAACAAAATCTTGCAAAATGCAATTAAATCAGGCAGTACTAAAACTACTGTTCTAATAGTTATTAGGCATCTTATTCCAGTTCAACATCAGTTCCTGTCCTCAGGAACCTCCCTGAAAGTAGGCACAAAAGTTCTAGGCTGCACAAGAGTGTAGGTACTAAAATCCAGGTGTCTCTGCACATCAGGATGTATGCCTTGTTGCATGGCCATGTATCATGGAGAAAGAAGCACACTATTTTGGGGATCATATTTATCTGGTTTAAGTATCAAATTATTTCTTAAAAGAGAAAAACATCTAAAGCACCAAAGTTCCAACACTACCAGGAAAGCCTAATAATTTTTATTTTAGGTAAGCAGGTGGACTGATTTAGATACATAAATCCAAAATGAAAAATGACAATATCTAAATTTGTAGGAGTTTATGCAGTATTTTCATATATATGTCTTATGCTCTTAACAAATGGTATTATTTTTATCCCTCATTTACAGATAAAGTAAGGCTCAGAAAGGTTCAATGACTTGCTCAATCTTAAAGCTTGTCAAGTGGGGTGGAATCGACATTCACACCTAGTCCTCCTGACTCAAAAATCTATGTTCTTACCATTAAATATTACCAACTCTAATTGCACCAGGCTGCAAATGCTTTTTTATGGTACATTTCACAGAAAACGTTTGATGATCCTCTGACAATTAACTAGCTGAAAGTCAAAGAACATCAACTCCTCAAAGGACTAGTAACAAGACTGATATTGGATATTTCAAGATTTTAGATGAATTATATGCTATTAAAAGTTTAATTAGAAAAATAGAAGCAAGTTCTAATTCTCATGTAAATTGTGAAGATTTACCTGAATGAAAAGGAAATTGTTGTTTGGCTTCACCAGTATGTGCATCCCAAATAATTGTAGTCTGAGATAGAAAAGAAAAATATACTGCTAAGAAGCTAGAAAGAGTTTATCATAGATGCATAAATTAGATGCCTAATTATATTAAAGCAATATGAAATGTCAGAGTGCATTTAATTTAATTTTTTTAACATTTACCTTTAGTACAACGAGGCTATATTCCACTTCGGGGGAAGGGGAGGAGAGGGATGACTATTTTAAGCTGTTTAATTTTTCCCTGGTGACTTTTTATCAGTCAACTTACTTCAAATAACAATTACTGTTGTCTAGAAAGTACCAGACATTATATTAGATTGCTTAAGAAACTCCACTGCAATAGTGTATTTAATGTAAGATTTTTATAGCTGCTTAGCTATAAGGAGGCAAATTTTTGGTTAATAAAGTTAATCAGTTAATTCCCAATATTAAGATTTTTAACACTCACATTTACCTATAATAAAGGCAGCTTGAATTCTGACAATAAGTAAAACAATGTCTTTTATATTACATCAAAGTATGACATATAAATCTGAATAGATATATTCACAATTCCTTTAATACCCTCCCATCACTAATTTCATAACTTTGGGGTCATAAAATATTGTAGACTGGCAGTAACTATTAATAGGGCACTTCCCTCCCATTCCTGGCCTCCTTCATTTTTCTTCCTTTTTTTTCTACTTCTCTTTTTGACAATATACGGTTAACTTTGTGTACTTTCCTGTATTAGAATAATCTTAAACCTGTATTCATTTTGGGAGGTGTGGTAAAGGCAGTAACTTAAGAAAATGAAGGAGAAAGAAGGCTATGATTTCAACCTATCCATATTTACCAGTCTTGTTAGGTGAAAAGAGCTGGAAAGACCCGACATTTCTTACATTTTCAATTAAACATTAGGAGTTCAGCTAACAGACTGGCTCTAAGATTTCCCATGAAATCGCTCCAGAGCCATACTCACTGATGAGATTAACTAGAAACTGTAGAAGGGAGGCAAAAAGTATAGGATGTATGACATTCATTATGGCTCAAATTCCCAAAAAATGAGGAGTGGTCACACAGATAAAGAATAAAGGGCATCTGAATGAGCAGATTCAGGAATGAGCTGACAGAAAATCTAAGAAAGCATTACTATTCCTATCATGAATTTATATATGAATTTACCAAATATGAAAGTTTTCTTGTTTATGTGATTAGTAGAGAAAAACATTACTTTCAATTATACTCTTTAACAAATTAACCTTTACAGAAGTTAAATATTCTTTTTACCTTGTCTACTCCAGCACTTAGGATGAAATTTCCTTTCTTATTCCATTTTAATGCAAATATAGGGCCTTTATGCTGCCCCAAGGTGCTAGCAAGGTTACCTAATATTCAAAAGGAAAAACATTTAAAGTTACTTTAAGCTTTATAACTTAGATCAACAGTTAACAACAAATGAAAAAAAAACAAAAAAAAGCTTCATTTACCATCTTTAGTCCATATTCTGGCAAACCCATCGTAGGAACCAGTTGCTAGAAGTGTACCTTCACTCTGTCAGAGAAACACATTTCTTTCAATTATATAATCCAGAGAGGGTTTTAAATTTTTATTAAAATATATTATGTTTAAATCCTAAGTACAGCAGATCCGTGACATTCTCTGCTTCAAAATCTTCAGCTTTGTCGATTTGGAATCCTAAGTAGCAGATCCGTGACATTCTCTGCTTCAAAATCTTCAGCTTTGTCGATTTGGAAGTGCCATAAAAGGCCTACAAAACACCCTTCATTGCTGTGAAGCTAGTATTTTGGCAGCATTCAGTCAGTGTGCAAGCCTCATACCCAAATCTCAAGAATGGCAAGAACTGCTCTGGAGCAGAATCAACATCACTCTTATGTATGCTAAGGTCTACTGCATTCTCATAGATGCACATGACTAAAGATGGGGATGGGGAGGTGGATTGGGAAGGACATCAAAATCATAATCTTATGATTTTATAAAAGTAAAAAGCAAAATCTTCCAAAATATTTCATTATGATTAGAAGTTTTTATATGATCTTCCCTCTAAATCTTTTACTGTCTAAACTCTGTGTGTGTGTGTGTTCCAAACAATATTGTTTTTTCAGATGATCAGATTCTTAAGTATCACTAAAGGTTTCTTTCCTTTGTTAATTCTTTCCCAATATGAAATCCTTACCAATAAAAACAGCAACACAAGAAAAACAGCCAGAAAAGAGTGTAGGCTGACTTTACAGTTAATGAAGTGAGTACCAACTGTCAGGAACTACTCTACTATGAGAAGAAATCCATACCATTTTCTCTAACCTTATATTCCTCTACTGTGCCTTGAATAATGGTACAACAGAAGAACTTGATAAGATCTAACTTATTCTACAGAAATGCAAGTTACAGAGTACGTTACACAGACTACTGCTGGGATGATTAAACACTACTGGAGAGACAGAATGAAATCTTGCCTTACTCAGTACTTTTTGATGCTTTTTGGTAGGGCACTGAAAACAAGATCACCTTTTTCAGACCTCTCAAGCCATCTATCCAGCTGTACAAGTAAGTGACAAACAAATGCTGGTTCTAGGGGTTGTAGCCTCAGTTTTGCTAGGATTTGGAAATCCCCTCTAGTTCTATCTCAGGAAGAGGGAGCAGGGTCGAAGCCAACAGCAAAAGCTTATTTCCAGATTCTGCACAATGGAAAGTTTCCTTTAAACTAATGGTCCCCAAAGGTTTTACATCACGATCCGCTAAGGTAGGAAAAGAATACTTTGAAGATCAGATATCTCACAGGCTTTTGCTTTAATCATGGAAATGAGCCATTAATCAATAGTAACATTTTCCCCTTTTAGCAGAAGATTTAAGTTCATAGTGAATAATAAATCTCTGAAAAGTTCACACTTTTAAAAACTTTAACTTGCAGTTCAGAACCACCAAGCTCAACAAACCATTTGTTAACCATCCTTTTCAGTGTAAAACTATAAATTTCATTAAATTAACATGGTCTCTGAGCCAAACAGCTTAAGAAGGCTGTAACGCCTTTGACCTACGATACAGTGAGGTCCCATGTTAAGAAGATAATTCTTAGTTCTGACCCTACAATCAAATAATACTGAAACGTGCTAAACCTCTTTTCATTTTTAGAATTCTCAACTTTATAGGAGGGAAAGGATAAATACATTGCTGGAAATTTAGAACTAAGAACACTAAAAAAACCTTACCTATGAAATCTGGAAAATTTCAGAGAAACTGAGAACTTTAGCTAGTGTAATCATTTTTAAAGATAGATCTCATTTCCTGGAATGAGATTTGGAAGATTCTTTGGAAAGCCCCACAAAAAGCTGTTAAACAGAGGCCAGAGAAAGATGTCCACTTGCTAAGGAAAGGACAGCTGACCCCTAAAATTCTTGGTAACACTGATATAGTCTAAGAGCCTTCTTAGAATTGGGGGGCGGGGGGTAAGGTGGTGCAGTGGGGGGTTGTTAAAAAATGGATGCAAAGTTATAAGGAAGAAAAAAGGCAACATGGAATAAAGGAAAAGGTATAGAAACTTTAAAAATGCTAATTTTCCACAAAGTAATCATGGGAATGGAAACAAACAAAGCTGTTAATCATGTATTTGAAACTGAAAGGGTGAAGCTTTATCAATAATGAAATCAAACTTCCTGGTAAGTCAGAGTAGTCAAAGATGTTGAATCATATATAGAATCAGAGAATTATAAGATTCCTACAGCTAGGATAAAGCTTGTAATCTAGACAAATGGTTCCTAAAAGGCAGCTGGCGATGAAGTTTTCATCAGTTCACAGCAAAATGAGAAAACAAGAATGTTTTTATTATATAGATTTCTCTTATACCCCCAACAAAGGACTTAGTAGTTAAGAACTCAGTATGTGCCTGTTACTGGTTTTCATCTATTACTTCATTTACATGGGACCATTACACTTCTGCTTTACATGTGATGAAAATACAGTACAGAGTGACCGACCACCAGTTATACAATGGTTCTACAGCTAGATAAACTGAGGAGCTGGAAGATGAACCTTGGTCTGAGTGCTCAAGGGCCAGTCTTTGTTTTTAACACATATGGGGGTGGGGACTTCTATTCTGTTGTTCTTACTGGTGAAATCCAAAAATATCTGAACAAACTGACATACCCTGAGATTAGTCTGAGGTTCAGAGAGGTTAAGTATATTAGTAACTACATCCATCATAGACAGTACAGTGATACTCACATTCCAATCTAGAGATGTCACATCCTTGTTGCTTGGGACATCTTGCCCTCCTTCTCGTATACAATGTCTAAGTACTAACTGTGTGGAGCCACTAGTGCTATTTTCACTAAGATTCCATATTCTTGCTGTTGAGTCTCCAGACCTATAAAGTATGCAACATATTTTAAATCCTCAACATATTTTAAATCCTCATGGTATTCTCAAGTATTCCAGAATCAAGGCAACAAATTTACATTCTATATTAATAAGGCAAATAAAAACTAGACTATCAGGGATGGATTTCCATTTCCAGTGTTTTTCTCAGTCTCCATTTTGCGGGGGAGCCCAAACACTCCTGAGGTAGTAACTTTTAAGATTAAAACTTCTACGATTACTTTATGAAGAAATAAAGGTTTACAGAGGCAAAATGACCACAAATAAGCAAAAACAAAAACCTGAAAATGTACGTAATGTATTTATAAAATATGCAATATTTCAGTCAGATACTTTTAGAAATCCATTTTAGTTTCACTTTGAGAAACGTACCCTGATGCCAAGAGATCACTAACGGGGTTCCAGGCACAGATGAAAACTTCAGATTCATGGCCCCGTAACACAACTGCTTTATTAGGAGGGATTTCAACATCCCCATCCACTTCCATCATATCAGTATGATTATCTGCATCATGAGAAATAAATGGAAAATTCCAGTTAGGTAATATTACAACATCCTGGAGAAAAAAAAGAATTCTTAACTAGCAAATACCTCCTTCATAATATAGTGTTAACTTTTTTTCTTCCACTATGTCAGGTAATGGTGAAAATGACTACACAGTATTTATCACATGAAAAATAAATTCCTATCTTTAGTTAAGTATGAACATACTTTTTTCAAAAAGAGATGTGCATCTAAGTTTGTGTTCAGAGATGGGGTTCGCAGGGAGCAGGAATAGAGGAAGACTGTGGAAGGAGGTTAGACCCAAACATAGCTAAAATGAGAAAATGTTCTGAATTAAGTATAATCCATGTCAACACTGCTCTGAGTTTCTGCCAGTAGGGGCTGCTGGTATCATTCATATAACATCACGGTTGCCTTTATATCTCCATGTCAAAGCTTCATTGTTTTTGTTAATGACTAGTGTTACAGATTATATTTAGAAATGAAATGCAGATGTGAAATTCACTTAACAATAGAAAAATGGTTTCTAAATATTTAAAAAAGAAAATAAAATCCATGAAAGTAAATCTAGCTTTATGGAGCTTTAGGCATTTAAAAATCTGAATTGTGTGATACAAGTTAGGGGAACAAGTTGCAAAAATGAAATAGATAATGTTATTTCAGCTAAAATGAGGCATCCCCATAAAGCAAGTATTTTTTTCTGCAAAGGAACTTAAAAAAATTCTTCTCTCAGCTCACTTGCTATAGTATGTGCTCCATTCTCCTCCCCATTTGCCGTGTTTTCTCCATTTTTTGCAGATCCTTGTTGGTTTGTTGCAGCTGCGGCAGCTGCAGCAGCTGCTGCTTGTTGCTGTGCAAGTTTATCTCTGTAAGCTTGTTGTCTTGTTTGTACTACATCAGGCATTACGGCATCTATCAGTGACAGAGACTCTATTGGTCGACCATCAAACAAGGTACCATCCTGGATTTGAAAAATTGTGAGAAGAAAAATCAAAGGTAACACATTTAGAGTAATTTGTATTCATAGAAGTCAACAGCAGAAATGGAAATCTTCATTCCAAGAAAAAATACTTTCAGATAATTTTCTGAATCATGTAAGAAGGAAAGGAATCAGGAGGGAAGAAGGAACCTACAAGATGCACCGCAAACAGCTACTTAAATCCTCCTCACAGAGTTCATATTGTTAAATGCTGCACAGACTAAAGCTGAAATTTTCAAAGGAATAAAAAAAGTAGGCCTGTATGATAAAAAAGGCTTATTAATTATATTCCAAAGCTCTGTAAGTCAAAAGCAATATGGAATAGTTCATACAATGGTAAGAGATTTGGTGCCACATTTTAGTAAATATTCAATACTTCTTTAAAACTAAAAACTTTTAAAATAGCTTTGTTGAACTCAAAAGTTTCTTGTGATTTGATTTAAATATTAAAACAGAAATATACATCAGATATTATGTTATACAAGCATCTCATTTTACTAATGTTGAAATATGAGCACCACAGTTCCACAGCTAGTCAATGGCAGCTGGAATCTGTTAACTGGTGCTATTGAAAGCACAATCAAAAGACCAACATTCCCACCATCACCTGGTAACTTGTTATAAATGTAGATTCAAACCTACAGAATCAAAATCTCTGAAGGGCTCGGGAATCCCTGTTTTAACAAGCTCTCTGGGGGAGTCTTATGCACACTAACATTTGAGAAGCACTGCCATAACTCACAGGCTAATGCTCTTTAATTTTATCAAGTTGCTATAATTTTCCAAAGCTCCTCTCACTGATATTCGGAAGTTCAAAATGAGTTCTTCAGCAAGCACAAGAAGACACACAGATACAGAGCAAGTCAGAAATAGAAACAGTGCATATTAGATAGGAATATGCACATGTGAAGCCTGGCTCACTTAAGCTAGTGAACATGCACTATTGATAATCTACAGCAGTGTGATGGGGTGCTCCGAGTTACAAAACACAGCACATCTTTCTGAACTGCCAATTGTAATGGAGTATTTGAGGAGTAGGAGAAAGTATCTAAACTTATAAGTAACTTAAAAATATTAAAACCAATACAGCTACATTGTGGAGTACTATATTAAATCTACAAAAAAATTTTCAGGAAAAAATGAGACTTCATCTCTGGCCACTGGTACAAATTGTTTATCATCCTCTGCAATAAAGGATACTGTTGGGAGAGAAAGTGCTAAAAGACAATGAGGACACTTTTAATTTAGTATTAGTGGATTTTTCAGTTATAGAGATGAGGAAACGAAAAAATAATCAATTTAACAGACTATATAATTATAGTAATAAATAGTGACGTAGAAACCATGGATGCTTCAGTTTTTAAAATACCTGCAAAAGGAAAGGGGGATATGTTAATCTCTGAAATGAAAATAAGGTAAAAAAGCTCCACTTGTCATAAACCCTGACCACATATGAAAATTTTCAGCTACACCAGGGTTTGCAAACTCTTTCTGTATAAGACTAGAGAGTAAATATTCTCGGCTTTGCAGACCATAAGGTCTCTGTCACAACCGCTCAATGCTGCCACTGTGGCACAAAAGCAGCCAGATACTATGAAAATGAAGGAGCATGGCTGTGTCCCAGGCAAACTTTACAGAAACGAGCAAGACGAGCAAGGATTTGGCTCATGGGTCATAGTTGGCTGACACCTGAGTTAAACTGCCTATACCATACAGACCTAGGTAATAGTATCAAGAGTTGTCTTTAATTATAAACTTCCTTCCAAAATCAGTTATAACCAAATAACCTGAGAATTTCTAATTTCTCAATCAATTATGCTCTCGGTATGCCACAGCACAATTTTCTTATTTTAAAGAAAATAATTTCTTACTGTATACTTATAAAAACCATGCAAAGAGAAGTAAGATAATGGCTCTTACAGTTGGGAGCCAACATGCCTCGGCTGTATGACCTGACCACCACATTAGGAATAATGCCCTTCAATCTTGTTTACCTGGTGAAGCTGAAGCAAGATACCAGACACTGAAGGAAACATTCAGGAGTAAGAATCAGTATTTGAACTAAGTCTTCCTTACCTCATTAATACTAACTTCTGCCTCTACATACTGTAGACCTTTCTGGATGATAGAAATCAATGCAGCAGGCGGGACGAGGGCACCATTTATGTTAGACTGACTGATATGGCTTTCTATACCAAAGGTGAACGCTGAATGAGAAAATCCTGAAAGCAAAAGAAAAGGTATAACAATTTATTCTCCAAGTGGCAACATGCTATGTAACACAACTGAAAGACCTCTACAGTCTTTCAAAATCACATTCCACCCATCTGAAATCCCAGACTGTTAGCTAAGGCTAAATATGTTTTTAAACAAAATAAGTATCAAAATCCAAACAAGTTAACCTTTATGTATTTTCCTTTTCACCTTAATTACATAATGGTGGCACATAATTTTCCTCAACAAATAGTATCAAACTTTAAAACTGGAAAAAGGCCTTTGTAGACCATGTGACTCAACTGCTTCACTCAAGATAATTTAGCCCAAGGTATACTGACATTTAATATTTCTGTAGTATATTTAAATTTCTACATACAAATCATCACACACCTTATAAATTCAATATTTTGCAGGTTATTTTTAAAAACTACCTAGGAAATTAAAAGCAAACTAATATAAGGAATGAAAACTGAAATTCAATAAAGAAAAATAATTTGTATGCTTAAATTTCATTGTATGTATGATTAAGTGTTAAAGAAATGTTACTAATTCTTTGCTACTTAGTAATAACCCATCTAAATGAAAGCTTTAGAAAATGAAGAGTTGGCAAGTGAAAATCCAATTTGATTGTCCAACAATTCTTTAATTTTAATTTGAAATACTTAAACCAAAACATTCACATAACAAAAATCTCTTTACGTTGGCCTTGATTTTTTTTAACTAAAGTCAAGTCCTAATTCAAAAGTAAAATTCTAGTAAACTGATAGGCCCAAGGGTGGTTATTTTCTTTACCAACATTATCATCCTCTGCAGAGCTTATCAATAAATAGTAACTGTCATTAATGTATTTTAAATAATTCAATTCTACATCTGTACAGAACGTTAAGAAACTTTCATACTAAATAAAGTAAACGAACATGGGCTCATTTGGGTCTTGGTTAAACTAACTTAATCCATATAATGTGTTATCTAGCCTGTCTATCCTAGCTGTTTAGTGCTTAATTAGTCCATGTCTTTTTCCATTTTGTGCTCCCACTCTCAGGCTCCTTGTGGCACTTACGAACAGTCTATAATAAAATACTGTGGGCTCACAAATAGCATGTGGCTAGGAGAAACTTTAATTGGTTAATAGAGAGCCAAAGTACACCAAGGTTGATTTTCCTTAGGAGTGCTCCTTCCTTACCTCTTTGGGACACCTAACCATTCCTGTAAATACCCATAGTGAGAAGTAAAAAGATGTTACCTTTAAGACTTGAATTTTGACTTCTTGATTTCGCCCACAGACAAGATCATTATTAAACGCATGTACAGTCTGCAACTTAACCTGAGCTCACAAGGAAGGCTAAGAAACATACAAATAAAAAATGCACCATTTTGCATTGTCCCTGTCAGGAAACCCACAACTACTTGAGCGTGAGTAGACTCCAGATCACCAGGATAGGAAGCTGAGAAAAAAGACTGGGAAGGATGGGGAGAAAGGGTGAGAGATACAGCAGTGAAATCCATGAGCAGTGAGGTTGGAGACTCCTGTTCTCAATTTCATATCCCTCCCCAAATAAATTCTGCAGTAGATCATAAATAGAAAAATAAAGCTAAACAGCCTAGTGGCTTAGGGATTTAAAAAGACTTCAAGATAGATGATATCACTTACAGAGGGCCTATACCATGCACACACATATACTTTTATTACTTTATTATCTGAATTAGCAGGTGTGAAAACAGTTACATAGACAATAAGGATTCATTCAGGGACCATGGCCGTCACCACGGCGTTCTCCCAGTTCTACTGAACAGTTAGAATATGGTCAAGGATAAAGTTAAGGCAGAGCGAGCTCCTGTTTATTAACAGAAAATAAAAGACTGCATCATTGTTCTTGTTTCATCTCAGGGTACTAGAAAGTGGCATCAGTAGTGCATGAAACATTAAGACACTTTATTAGCAAGTTATTTTGATCTTCATAAGCCTTCTAAATTGTAGCAGAGTCTATGATTTCTGTACTCCAACTCCTAAGTACAATTTAAATAATCATTAATTACACTTAACCCTGTTTAATTAGATGGTAGAGTCCAAACTTATGTCAAAGAATATCCTAAGAGTTGCAGGTAGAACAATGTCAATTTTTGGCTGGAATGTTGCCTATATCCCCAATTTTTTGTGTGAGATCAGGCGCTCACTGCCATCTCAAGTTATTACGCATGTGCTTAGAATGTTCTCAAATAGCAAGAAAACAACCCTAAAGCGGTCATTAGCACTGTTTTGGCACTTACTGCTAATGTTTACCCTAAAGAAGGTCCATACAAATGCTCTGCTTTAAATACATGCTGAACTCAACTGTAACTTTTTATTTCTAGTTACAGCATTACACGACAGCTTAAAATCATTATGTTCAAAACTACTCTTCTGGGCTTCCCTGGTGGCGCAGTGGTTGAGAGTCCGCCTGCCGATGCAGGGGACATGGGTTCGTACCCCGGTCCGGGAAGATCCCGCGTGCCGCGGAGCGGCTGGGCCCGTGAGCCATGGCCGCTGAGCCTGCGCTCCGCAGCGGGAGAGGCCCCAGCAGTGAGAGGCCCACGTACCGCAAAAAAAACAAAAAACAAAAAACAAAAAACAAAAAACTACTCTTCTTCTTCCCCTCCCTAAAACTTCTTTTTCCTTAGAAATTTCTCACCTTACTTTGCTATACCTGAAGGTCATCCTAACTTCCACCTCAGTCCCTGGCATTCCACCATTTTGCCAAATCCTATCAATCCTCCCACTCTGGTCCCTGTCATCAGCTTTCCTTTTGTGCCAGAATGTGGAATTTAGTCCCCCATCATCCTCTGCCTGGACTACTGCTGTCATAAGTTCCTTTCCTCTGTTCCCCAGTCCAGTACGCTTGCTACACCATAGCCAGACTACTACTTGTAAAACAAAAACTGATCATGCTGGGCTTCCCTGGTGGAGCAGTGGTTAAGAATCCACCTGCCAACGAAGGAGACACGGGTTCGATCCCTGGTCCGGGAAGATCCCACATGCCGCGGAGCAACTAAGCCCGTGCGCCACAACTACTGAGCCTGCGCTCTAGAGCCTGTGAGCCACAACCACTGAAGCCCGCGTGCCTAGAGCCCGTGCTCTGCGACGAGAAGCCACTGCAATGAGAAGCCCACGCACCGCAAAGAAGAGTAGCCCCTGCTCGCCGCAACTAGAGAAAGCCCACGTGCAGCAACGAAGACCCGACACAGCCAAAAATAAATAAATAAAATTTAAAAAACAAAGTATGTTTAAAAACAAACCAAAAAAACTGATCATACCACTCCTTTCCTGAGTACTTTCAATGATCCTTTTGGCCTTCATAATCAAGGCCAAACTCCTAAGTGTGGCACACAGTTACTTTTGTAATCTTGACCCTACCCATCTCTCCAGGCTCATCTCCCCAATTCCACCCTCCCACTCTTCCCAATGCACATTAAATTAAAGTGACTGCCAACTACAAGGTAACACCTAGAATATATTGTGCTATCTCATGCCTTTGGGCCTTATGCGTTCCTGTGCTCTTTTCACCTATGTGAATAGAGGTGAAGTCCTTCCTTCTGCTGCTCCAGGGTCGATCGTTCTCTTCTATGCTAATCCTATAACTTGTATATGTATAGCATCTACGGGTTGTGTGTATGTATATGACTAACAGACTGGGCTGACTGAGGATGGGGTTTATGTCTAGTAATCTTTCAGTTCCGGGAAACTAGATGTCACCTAATTATACCAGTGCTCAAAAAACATTTGTTAAGTCAGAATGCAATTCTACTATAATTTATCTTAGCACATCAGGAAATCTGTGCATCCAGGAAAAACATACGACTTAAATCTCCCTTGAGAAACTAAAACTTGAACCAGGGTTATGCCAAAATATATTTATTTGCATTTATCTGTAAATATATATGCAGGCAATACTTTTTCAGGGACAACTTTTGATCTACATGGTAAAAGGCAAAGAGGATCAACTTAAATCTGTGAAACACTGAAGTCTAGCCTGCTTGCCTAATACAGCATCCCTTCTTTCCAAGGGTAGAAGCAAATGATATAAATGATACTCTGTATAAAGATTTTGTAGTCAAATATTCTACACGTTCACTAGCGTGATTAAGATTTGGGAGGTAGAAAAGGAATTCCAGAGAGGAGTAAGGCTGAAAACCACGAAGTTCAGTATACAGTAATTCAGTGACATTCAGTGATAAAGACCAGCAGTGGTAGGGGGTCTATGTGGAGTTACCCTTGAGGCCATGCACTGTTCCCATATAAGAAATGAGGTCACAAGACAACCATTTTCTACATATTGCTTGTTTCAGGAGTGCTTTCCCTTGGGATGACAGGGATTATATTCTCAGAGGGAAGTCAAGTCCTCTAGAGCCTGTCTCCTTTGCAAATTGAGAATACAGGACCATGAAACGGGGCCTTGAACACGGTTATGGTGTAGGGTGTCTGAACAAGGGGGTGTGTGGGGGGGCGGGGAAATGCAAAGCTTAACTACTATCACAGCACAGTGCCCTGGTCTGGAAGCAAAATCTGATTTATCCAAGATCCTTTTAAAGCTTCAGGTCAGAAAAACCCAGAAAGTTATATTCCTGATTCTGTCACCATAACACTCCCTTGCCCCCAAATCTGTTTCCAATTCTGTCCTACAGACCCAGAGCTTTGTTTACTATAAAAAGTTCCCTACTTAAATGCTTAAAGGTTTTAGAAAAGGTAAAAAGAAGTAGAGGAAAAAATGCTATAGGGGACCTCGTATGTTGAAGAGTTAGACGTAGCACTTAAAAAAAAGGGAAGAAGAAAAAAAAATTACAATACCAAAACCCAAAGAAAACTTAAAAGTTTTTATTTCCGGGCTTCCCTGGTGGCGCAGTGGTTGGGAGTCCGCCTGAGGATTCAGGGGATACGGGTTCGTGCCCCGGGCCGGGAAGATCCCACATGCCGCGGAGCGGCTGGGCCCGTGAGCCATGGCTGCTGGGCCTGCGTGTCTGGAGCCTGTGC